TCTAGAAAGATAACTGAAGCTTTTCTTTAGCAGGTTTTATAGGTGTGCTCTGGCAATCAATATAACTCAAGCATCTGTTGAGAGGGTAGTGCCTAGGGTGCTATCTTCTGGAAACGTGAGAGGTTATTAACAATTATTGTGTAGTGCTATCACTCTTGCCATGGGAGACATATTGGGTACCTTTGAAATCTAAAGGTCCTATTAGTGATCTTTGTAGGCCAGCTGTTATAGCTCCTAGTAATTCTGTTTCCCACCTAAGGACTGTGAGTGAAATCCCATCAAGGATCATTATCTGCCATGAAAAGTTAACTATGGCTACTTTATGTTCCTTAAATTTTACCTTTAGTTATATATGACACTAGAAAGGCCTAAATGTTCTTAGTTCGCAACTTAACTATACATGCAGATGTTACTACCACCAGTGTAGCCACCCTAGAGTTAAAGCAGACCTTCCACTCTGTTGAAAGCCCCTCCACCACCCAAAGTCAAATCACTGGTTTAACAATAAAGCTTTTGCTTTTAAAGAAGAAAAAATGCTTACCTCAGCGCCATGTCTTTATGAAGGTTCTCATTTATCCATGTCATGGTATAGCAAGTAGTAGCTGGTCACATTGAATTGAACTTGTTCAGGGATGCAGAAGATGTTTCATAGCTTGTCCAAGGCACTTCCTCAGTTCTAAGGTTTAATGTTGATAAATGTAAGGTTCTGCACTTGGGGGCTAAGAATATGCATGCATCATACATACTAGGGGGGGTACAAATGGGAGAATCAATGGTGGAGAAGGATCTGGGGGAATCAATGGTGGAGAAGGATCTGGGGGAATCAATGGTGGAGAAGGATCTGGGAGTTCTGGTAGATCACAAGCTTAATAATGGCATGCAATGCCAAGCTGCGGTTTCTAAAGCGAGCAAAATCCTCTCTTGTATTAAAAGAGGTATAGACTCCAGAGAGAGAGATATAATTTCCCCCGATACAAATCATTAGTAACACCTCATCTGGAATATGCAGTTCAGTTTTTGGCACCAATTCACAAAAAGAACATTGGGGAACTGGAGAAAGTACAGAGAAGGGCAACCAAACTGATACGAGGCATGGAGGAGATCAGCTATGAGGAAAGATTAGAGGAACTGAATTTATTCTCTCTTGAGAAGAGGAGATTAAGGGGGATATAATCTCCATGTATAATACATAAGGGGGGATATGATCTCCATGTATAATATATAAGGGGGGATATGATCTCCATGTATAATACATAAGGGGGATATGATCGCCATGTATAATACATAAGGGGGGATATGATCTCCATGTATAATACATAAGGGGGGATATGATCTCCATGTATAATACATAAGGGGGGATATGATCACCATGTATAATACATAAGGGGGGATATGATCACCATGTATAATACATAGGGGGGGATATGATCTCCATGTATAATACATAAGGGGGATATGATCTCCATGTATAATACATAAGGGGGATATGATCTCCATGTATAATACATAAGGGGGGATATGATCTCCATGTATAATACATAAAGGGGGGGATATGATCACCATTTATAATACATAAGGGGGATATGATCTCCATGTATAATACATAAGGGGGATATGATCACCATGTATAATACAAAGGGGGGGATATGATCTCCATGTATAATACATAAGGGGGGATATGATCACCATGTATAATACATAAGGGGGGATATGATCTCCATGTATAATACATAAGGGGGGATATGATCTCCATGTATAATACATAAGGGGAGATATGATCACCATGTATAATACATAAGGGGGGATATGATCTCCATGTATAATACATAAGGGGGATATGATCTCCATGTATAATACATAAGGGGGGATATGATCACCATGTATAATACATAAGGGGAGGTTATGATCACCATGTCTAATACATAAGGGGGGATATGATCTCCATGTATAATACATAAGGGGGGGGGGTATGATCTCCATGTATAATACATAAGGGGGGATATGATCTCCATGTATAATATATAAGGGGGGGATATGATCTCCATGTATAATACATAAGGGGGGATATGATCTCCATGTATAATACATAAGGGGGGATATGATCTCCATGTATAAATACATCAGTGGTTCATATAGTGAACTCAGTGTAGTTATTCACCCTGAGGTCATCACAGAGGACAAGGGGGCACTCTTTACATCCGGAGGAAAAGAGATTTAATCTCCAAACATGGAAAGGTTTCTTCACAGTAAGAGCTGTGTGAATATGTGGAATAGACTCCCTTAAGAGTTGGTTGTGGCCAGCTCAGTGGATTGCTTTAAAAAAGTCCTGGATTCTTTCTTGGATACACAGAATATAATTGGATATAACATTTATAGGTAAAGTTGATCCAGGGAATATCCGATTGTCTCTCAGGGGATCAGGAAGGAATTTTATCCTCTGCAGGAGCAAACTAGTTTATGCTTTGCTGTTTTTTTTTTACTTCCTCTGGATCAACTATTATAACTTTGTTTTTCTTCATGGTTGACCTTGATGGACTTTTATCTTTTTTCAGCCAGACTAACTATGTAACTATGTAATGAATGATAAGAAACCCCAGTATTTATATCCACACAGGTAGCACCAACACCTTAATCTAGTCACCATGAAATATGGAGATGATGGCTCTCCAAGAACAGGATGTGAGGTGTGAAAGTTGTGAGACTTGTGAAAAGTTACATAATCCCATTTTTATGTTAATTTCTAGATTTACATGACTAAAGGTGGGAATTGTCAAATTGCTGGGGTAGAGACATTAAAACAACTGTAAATTGTGGAAGGTAGATGGTATTATGGGCCCCCATTCCTGTTCCAGTTTGACATAGATGGCCTCTTTCACACCTCTTGAGAGCCATTAGTCCCCTCTGTCCAAAATGTGCACTTCACTGTTCTAGAAAAAAAACTCTTCCCTAGCTTCCTGAGAGTGATAACACTGTGCCTCACGGGATAATTGGGTGCTTTAAATCCCACAAACATGCACTCATTTCCGGGGCATATTCTTGAAGGGATATCTCAAGAGGCAGCAGTAAGGCACAACTTTATTTTTAAATACAGTTGCAAGAAAAAGTATGTGAACCCCTTGGGATTACGTGGAGTTTTGCATGAATTGGGCATAAAATGTGCTCTGAACGTCATCTAAGTCACAACAATAGAAGAACACAGTCTGCTGAACATAATACTACACAAACATTGTTGCCATGGTTTAATTGCACATAACATGTAAACATTCACAGTGCAGGGAGGAAAAAGTATGTGAACCTTTGGACTTAATAACTGGTTGACCCTCCTTTGGCAGCAATAACCTCAACCAAATGTTTCCTGTAGTTGCAGATCAGACCTGCACAACAATCTGGAGTAATTTTGGACCACTCCTCTTCACAAAACTGTTTCAGTGTAGCAATATTCTTGGGATGTCTGGTGTGAATCGCACTCTTAAGGTCATGCCACAGCATTTCAATTGGGTTGAGGTCAGGACTTTGACTGGGCCACTCCAGAAGGCGTATTCTGTGCTGTTGCAGCCATTGTTTTGTTGAATTACTTGTATGCTTTGGGTCATTGTCCTGTTATTATTGTTAGTATTATGTTCAGCAGACTGTGTTCTTCTATTGTTGTGACTTAGATGACGTTCAGAGCACATTTTATGCCCAATTCATGCAAAACTCCACGTAATCCCAAGGGGTTCACATACTTTTTCTTGCAACTGTAGATGTGACTTAGGGGGTGGAGGGGAGGGCTTTCTCATAGGGTAGACCTTCTATTGTCATGGAAGGTTCATTTTAATCCATAATGCAAAGTCTCTCAGCACTCTCTGGGCGCCCACTCTTTTCTGTCACGTGTCATGACATCACGTCCCGTCCACCTCCAGGCCCCTGTATTCTCTACCGTAAATTAACTTCTGAGAGTCTCGTTCGGAGTGTATGTTAGGGGTTTAGCGGCCGGCGTTAACTGTCCGCTACTTCTGGCTCCAGTACGAAGTGCCCTGGCGGATTTCTCCAAACAGCCGGCTGACGACGAGGAGGGGAGGTGAGTCACATATCACCTATAGAGCCACCTAAGAGAGAGACCGTGGATTATCAGCAACATCCAGCGGGTGGAGGAATATCTGGCTTGACCTGACCTTTAGGAGCTACCAGTGGATCTAGTAGAGATAACTTATCTCTAAATGCGCAGTTACACTGTGCATCTGGTGAGTGCACAGCCTTATCCTTCTCACGTTCACCGCATGGAAGAAGCACTTTGAAGGAGAGAAATTGTCACTAAGACTGTTTTTGCACTGCATGTTACTCTGTTTGTGACATAATGTTTGGGGTCACATTAGTCACCTAATCACTATACATTGATATCTTGGACGTTTTTTGCTTAAATACTTGTGATATAGCGCCGCATCTTTTATATTTTATGTTTTGTAAGGTTTTTTGGTATCCTTTCTGATGCTGTGGCTGCTTTACTTTTCATAGCGCTCACAACTTCTTTTATACTTGTTAAAGTTACATTGGTGATTTTTAATATAAGAACACTTACCTGTCCAGGGGTCCAGCTAGGGTTGCCACCTCGTCCCTTTAATACTGTTCACATATTAATTACATAGGTTCTATGGATGATTAAGGTGGTTATTAACCGCTTTCCTACAGGGCACTTATACCCCCTTCCTGCCCAGGCCAATTTCCAGCTCTCAGCGCTGTCACACTTTGAATGACAATTGCGCGGTCATACAACACTGTACCCATATGAAATGTTTATAATTTTTTTTGTGACATATAGAGCTTTATTTTGTTGGTATTTAATCACCTCTGGGATTTTTATTTTTTCTTAAACAAACCAAAAACAGCTGAAAATGTTGAAAAAAAAATGTTTTTTCTTAGTTTTTGTTGTAAAATTTTGTAAATAAGTGATTTTTCTCCTTCACTGAAGTGCACTAATGAGGCTGCAGTGATGGGCACTGATAGGCTGCACTGATGGACTCTGATAGGTGGCACTGATGGGCACTAATGAGGAGGCACTGATAGTTGGCACTGATGGGCATTGACAGGCATCACTGATGGGCACTGAAAGGCAGCACTGATATTTGGCACTGATAGGCGGCACTGAAAGGCGGCACTGACTGGTACTGTTAGGCGGCACTGACTGGCACTTATAGGAGGCACTAACTGGCACTTATAGGAGGCACTGGTGCACACTGATAGGCGGCACTGATGCACACTGATAGGCGGCACTGACTGGCACTGATAGACGGCACTGATTGGCATCACTGACAGGTGGCACTGATTGGCATTGATAGGTGGCACTGATGGGTGACACTGAAAGGCAGCTGAGATGGGCACTGATATGTGGCATTGATGTGCACTGGTAGGCACTGATATGTGGCATTGATGTGCACTGGTAGGCACTGATATGTGGCATTGATGTGGCACTGGCACGTGGCACTGTTCAGCACTGGCAGCTGGCACTGATGGACACTGACAGGTGGCACTTCTGGGGCCACACTGATCATCAGTGCCCTGATGATCAGTGTACATGTCCCCTCCGTGGAATGCCAATTACCGGCTCTCCTCTGTCAGCGTGACAGCTCGAGAGGAGAGAAATGCCGATAACTGGCATTTCCCTGTTTACATGTGATCAGCTGTGATTGGACACAACTGATCTCATGACCGAGCCGACATCTTCGGCTCTTTCCGTAGATCGGTGATCCGCTGTATCCGAGGGACACAGCGCATCGCCGATCGCCACGCTGCGCGCTCCCTGAGCCGCGCATGCATGGTGAGAATGGGAGGATGTCATATGACATCCTCCCAGAACGAGAGAACCACCTTGCGCCCATCGTTGGACTATATGGTGGGCGGGAGGTGGTTAAACTCACATAGTGCCTTATCTGCATTAAATTAGCCTCAGAACCTGTGTAATTAATATGTGTTCAGTTTTAAAGGGATGAGGTGGCAACCCTAGATCCGGCGCTGTCCTCACCCAAAACCGACTATGAAGCCTTGCTGAATATCCTGACATGTCAGGAGTCTACGTAGTCTAGTAAAGTTCCCGGAAGGACCACTGTAACATGTTGTGAGCTGGTCATGCTTTCCTGCTAGTTACCTACATCCTCTGTTCACCTTCCCACCAATCCACTCGAGATATAGGAGCTACTTAGCTTCCTGCTCACGTTCCGATGCAATTCGGCCAAATCCTCGCACTGTATATGAGTTTGCACTTCCCCACCTGCCGCTGCAGATCCTTTGCAGATAGTAAAAATGATTCCTTTAGGGCTTAAGGTTAAACTAGATGCAGAGCCAACATAGCAGTGTTGTGGCTGAATTATGCATTGGCAGGAAGATAACTCTCATTGTGATAAGAATGCACATCGGCACGTGTTTGTTTTGAGATATTGGCTGGAACGTGAAGGCATGTAAAGACTTATTATTGAGCTGTTCCCTGTTAGACAGAAACATACCTGAAAAAAAATATGGATGAAAGCAGGACTGATTTTAAAGGAACCTTCTAATATAGATTAGGGACTGCCATTGCTGACTTGTTTTTGAAGTTGCATGTTTCAGGGCTTCTTCTCCTTCCACCAATACATGGTTAATTGTTGTACTGGAGCAACCAAAGACTCAAAGGATTCAAACAGTTTACGGTCATTGTACAGTCATAGATCATACAATGAACCCTATGAAAATCCAGTGTTAGTTGACCCTTTAAGTTCGTGGTGTTCAGTTTTTTCAAGTGCAAACCCTGGAATCAACAAGTGGACACACATATTATTTACTATGTAATGCTGCAGAAAACTGTGGAAATGCTACGAGACATGGTCAGAGACTGTAGACATACTGCAAGAGATGGTCAGAGACTGTAGACATACTGCAAGAGATGGTCAGAGACTGTAGACATACTAAAGGAGATGGTCAGAGACTGTAGACATACTGCAAGAGATGGTCAGAGACTGCAGACATACTGCAAGAGATGGTCAGAGACTGTAGACATACTGCAAGAGATGGTCAGAGACTGTAGACATACTTCAAGAGATGGTCAGAGACTGTAGACATACTACAGGAGATGGTCAGAGACTGTAGACATACTACAGGAGATGGTCAGAGACTGTAGACATACTGCAAGAGATGGTCAGAGACTGTAGACATACTACAGGAGATGGTCAGAGATTGCAGACATGCTACAGAAGATGGTCAGGGACTGCAGACATGCTATAGGGGATGGTCAGAGATTGCAGACATGCTACAGGAGATGGTCAGGGACTGCAGACATGCTATAGGGGATGGTCAGAGACTGCAGACATACTACAGGAGATGATCAGACACTGCAGACATGCTACAAGAGATGGTCAGAGACTGTAGCCATACTGTAGGTCAGTGATGGCGAACCCGTGGCACGCGTGCCACAGCCGGCACGCCGAGCCTTATCTGTGGGCACGCCAGGAGAATCCAGCGGCGCGCTGTCTTCCCGGCTGTAGTGTGCGTGACAGCCGGGTCCCAAGTGCGCATGCACAAGAAGCGGTGCTCTTTGTGAATGGTAAGGCGGTACCTGGGACACATGACAGATCCCAGAAGCCGCCGGACCAATCACAAAGCGCAGCGCTTCTCGCGCATGCGCACTGGGCATCCGGCTGTCCGACGAGCGCCCACACTACAGAAGCCGGGAAGACAGCGAGCGGCTGGATAAAGGAACAGGTAAGATAAAAAAAAACTCTGCGGAAGTAAGAGCGGGTACCTGTCAAATTCAGGTACCGCTCCCCCTCCCTCCCCAAAGGTCAGCAGTCATCCCTGTGCTGTCCGCAGTCTCTGGTCATCCCTGTGCTGTCCGCAGTCTCTGGTCATCCCTGTGCTGTCCGCAGTCTCTGGTCATCCCTGTGCTGTCCGCAGTCTCTGGTCATCCCTGTGCTGTCCGCAGTCTCTGGTCATCCCTGTGCTGTCCGCAGTCTCTGGTCATCCCTGTCCTGTGTCCGCAGTCTCTGGTCATCCCTGTGCTGTCCGCAGTCTCTGGTCATCTCCTGTACTGTGTCCGCAGTCTCTGGTCATCCCTGTACTGTGTCCGCAGTCTCTGGTCATCTCCTGTACTGTGTCCGCAGTCTCTGGTCATCCCTGTACTGTGTCCGCAGTCTCTGGTCATCCCTGTACTGTGTCCGCAGTCTCTGGTCATCCCTGTACTGTCCGCAGTCTCTGGTCATCCCTGTACTGTGTCTGCAGTCTCTGGTCATCCCTGTACTGTCCGCAGTTTCTGGTCATCCCTGTACTGTCCGCAGTCACTGGTCATCCCTGTACTGTCCGCAGTCTCTGGTCATCCCTGTACTGTCCGCAGTCTCTGGTCATCTCCTGTACTGTCCGCAGTCTCTGGTCATCTCCTGTACTGTTCGCAGTCTCTGGTCATCTCCTGTACTGTGTCCGCAGTCTCTGGTCATCTCCTGTACTGTGTCCGCAGTTTCTGGTCATCTCCTGTACTGTCCGCAGTCTCTGGTCATCTCCTGTACTGTCCGCAGTCTCTGGTCATCCCTGTACTGTGTCCGCAGTCTCTGGTCATCCCTGTACTGTGTCCGCAGTCTCTGGTCATCTCCTGTACTGTGTCCGCAGTCTCTGGTCATCCCTGTACTGTCCGCAGTCTCTGGTCATCTCCTGTACTGTGTCCGCAGTCTCTGGTCATCCCTGTACTGTGTCCGCAGTCTCTGGTCATCCCTGTACTGTCCGCAGTCTCTGGTCATCCCTGTACTGTGTCTGCAGTCTCTGGTCATCCCTGTACTGTGTCTGCAGTCTCTGGTCATCCCTGTACTGTGTCTGCAGTCTCTGGTCATCCCTGTACTGTTCGCAGTCTCTGGTCATCTCCTGTACTGTGTCCGCAGTCTCTGGTCATCTCCTGTACTGTGTCCGCAGTCTCTGGTCATCTCCTGTACTGTGTCCGCAGTCTCTGGTCATCTCCTGTACTGTCCGCAGTCTCTGGTCATCCCTGTACTGTCCGCAGTCTCTGGTCATCCCTGTACTGTGTCCGCAGTCTCTGGTCATCCCTGTACTGTGTCCGCAGTCTCTGGTCATCTCCTGTACTGTGTCCGCAGTCTCTGGTCATCCCTGTACTGTCCGCAGTCTCTGGTCATCTCCTGTACTGTGTCCGCAGTCTCTGGTCATCCCTGTACTGTGTCCGCAGTCTCTGGTCATCCCTGTACTGTCCGCAGTCTCTGGTCATCCCTGTACTATCCGCAGTCTCTGGTCATCCCTGTACTGTCCGCAGTCTCTGGTCATCTTCTGTACTGTGTCTGCAGTCTCTGGTCATCCCTGTACTGTGTCCGCAGTCTCTGGTCATCTCCTGTACTATGTCCGCAGTCTCTGGTCATCCCTGTACTGTCCGCAGTCTCTGGTCATCCCTGTACTGTCCGCAGTCTCTGGTCATCCCTGTACTGTGTCCGCAGTCTCTGGTCATCCCTGTACTGTGTCCGCAGTCTCTGGTCATCCCTGTACTGTGTCCGCAGTCTCTGGTCATCCCTGTACTGTTAATTAGTTTGCACTACTGTACGAGTTGTTTTTTCTAAACCAAAAGCTCGATATTCAGGTTTCATTGCAGTGTTGGCACTTTGAAAGAAATAAGTTGGTTTTGGGTTGCAGTTTGGGCACTCGGGCTCAAAAAGGTTCGCCATCACTGCTATAGGGGATGGTTAGAGACCACATGGTCACGGACTGCAGACATACTACAAGAGATGATCAGAGACTGCAGACATATTATAGTAGATAGTCAGAGACTGCAGCCATACTATAGGGGATGGTCAGAGACTGCATGGTCACGGACTGCATACATACTACAAGAGATGATCAGAGACTGCAGACATATTATAGTAGATAGTCAGAGACTGCCTACATACTACAGGAGATGGCCAGAGGCAGAAGACATTGTCAGAGACTGCAGACATATTATAGTAGATAGTCAGAGACTGCCTACATACTAAATAGATGGCCAGAGGCAGAAGACATTGTCAGAGACTGCAGACATATTATAGTAGATAGTCAGAGACTGCCTACATACTACAGGAGATGGCCAGAGGCAGAAGACATTGTCAGAGATTGCAGACATATTATAGTAGATAGTCAGAGACTGCAGACATACTACAAGAGATGGTACAAGAGTGCAGATATACTACAGCAGATGGTCAGAGATGGCAGACATAGAACAGGAAATAATCAGAGACTGCAAACATATTATACAGTAGTAGATGGTCAGAGACTGCATACATATTATATTAGAAGGTCAGAGACTGTAGACATACTACAAGAGATGGTACAAGAGTGCAGATATACTATAGCAGATGGTCAGAGACTGCAGACATAGAACAGGATATGGTCAGAGACTGTAGACGTACTTCAGGAGATGGTCAGAGACTGCAGACATTTTAAAAGAGATGGTCAGAGACTGCAGACATAGAAGAGGAGATGGTCAGAGACTGCAGACATACTACAAGAAATGGTAAGAGAGTGCAGATATACTATAGTGGGATGGTCAGAGACTGCAGACATGCTACAGAAGAAAAACTGTAAACATATTATAGTAGATGGTCATAGACAGCAGACATACTACAGGAGATGGTCAGAGACTGCAGACATACTACAGGAGATGGTCA